CCCCCCGCCGCTGTACCGGGCAGCCCCGGAGGGAGCGGGCATGCAGGGGAGGGGTGGCAGTGCGGCCCCAGGGGCAGCCCTGGGCTGGGGGTGAGTCTGTGCCCTGTGGGCCACCGTGTCCCTGTGGCCCCACACCTCCGCCCGGGGCGGCTCGTCGCCGTTTCTCCCAGGGTTGTGAAGCCGCTCTGCTCTCCCACCGCACGTGTTTGGGGGGACCCTCCACAGGGGACACCCCTTCCTGCACCACCGTTAACGTCACCTCCGCGTCACGAGCGGATAAATGACACGTCGTCAGGTAGTTACGCCGTGCACTTGGGCCGTCACAGCGGGGTGACTGGCCAAACTCTGTAATGTCAGGGAATCCTCACTTGGATTGAAGTCCAGTGTAAAATCGCCTTCCCTGGAGAGGCTGGGTTGGGAGGAGAAGCCGCTCCTGCTGGAAGCTGCAGTCCTTACCGAGTCACTCACATCCTGAATTTATGGAAGCAGGTCAGCGGTGTATTAATGCCTCTGTTGCGGTTTGTCCTTGGCACGGGGACTCATTAAACGTTGATTGGGCTTGTGGTGTTCATCTCTTTACTCGACTGCTTTTAATATTTAATGCTGTGGATCCTCGCGAACGCACAGGCTTATCCGATCGTTGCTGGTTTTCCTCCTCATTTCAACCGTCAGCGGTGGGGTGGTGGAAGGCAAACCCTCTCGCGCCACAGGGGCGGGCGTCTGCTTTCGAGGTGGATGGGGAGATGCGGGTCCCGTCTGCCCTGGTGGCGGCTGGAGCTGCAGAGCCTCCAACCACTGGCACAAGGTGTGACTACGGCGGCCAAAAACTGAGTCCCCCTCTGTCCCCATGGCTGAGAGCCCCTTTCCCCACACATGTCCCCCCGTGGGAAGGCGAGGTTGGCTGATACTGTGATTATTGCCTGAGCTGCGACTACGAAAGCAAATGAACACATGTAGATCACCGCTTACCTTTCTTCTCATCCGGGCTGTAGCCGCCATCCACAATGCTGGCCAGATCGTCGTCTGAAAATGCTTAAAAAAATAACAGGAACAAACGGTGGTTGGCACCCAAAGGGAGACGTGGCCCCACTGGGAGGTAGTGGCCACGGGCTCCCCCTTGGAGAGCTGGTACAGGCTTCTCGTGTGCCCTCGGCAGCGGGGCAGCCCACCTTCTCGACCCACACAGCCCCAAAATCACCCAGCAAAACATCACAGCCGCCTCCCCGGGAGGGCGACTGCAGCCCGAGCTGCCTGGAAAGCAATGTAACAGGAAGGACAAATAGCGCCTGGCTTGCTTGGGATGAGAGGGATCCCGAAAACCCACTGCCTTTGGATGGGGAGGGCCTGGAAACTGGAATTTTTGGGGTATTCTGGGGGAGGGTCACCAGTGAGCATCAGGCGCCCGGGGTGGGACTGGCCTCCTGCAAACCCCCGCTCCTGGGGAATGTTCCTCTGCCGGGCAGGCAGAGGCTGCTCTACTCATTTGAGTATTTTTGTCTAAAGCTCTCCGGCTATTTTGAAGAGCTGTGTGGGGCTTTCTGTGCGGCAAGGCCCAGAGCCGGGGTTTGCACGCCCGTTTAAACCAGTGGCTCCCAGTCAGCCAGCTACTTGGTCCCCAGTGAGAACTGGGACTGGCCACTACACAGTTCTGCTTCTCTTGCAACTACCAGATGTTAACAAAACATTGAACCCAAATTATTTTAGACTCATAAAAGAGGTAAAAGGTGACTTTTAAGTCTAGCTTGAAAGAAATACCCTTGAATCAAAGTTTAAATACTACTGTAGTATTATTTTTAACTGAAATGACCGATGTATTTACGAGTTCGTGACATGTTTTGGCTGCTCAGCCCCGGCTGGTTGTGGGAATGTTTAATCTGTGTAGGATGAGCGCAGAGAGACAGGGCCTGGGCACGGGCAGGCCAATGCGCGGAGGTGTTGAAGCTGCGGTGCCAGAGGGAGCCGCGGGGCACAGCAAGGGGCGCGCGCTGGGAGAAGAGACCCAACGCCGAGCCTGCAAAAGGCTCCTTCCCTGATGCTGCGCCTTGGGAAGGGTTACCTTTGCCTGAACGGCCTGGAAGACACTGCCTTACTCACCACCTTACCACAAAAACCAGATTTATGGGCTTAGTAAAAAGAGAAAAAGCCCTGCCTATGCCGGAGCCTGGAGCGGTCCCAGGCAGGCAGGGGTGCAGTGATGATGGGGGAACGCCTGCGCTGGTTTGTGACCGGTGCCACGTTCCAGCGGTTCGACACCCTGACCTTTCCTGCAGGGGTCTGAAACCTCAACAAGCCCAGAATATCAAAGTGCAGACAAGTCACCTAGTTAATACAATCTAATAAAATATCTGACTATTAATTACACGTGCGAGCAGGGTATACGGCCATCTCGCCATCAATAAACTAGCCGTGCAAAGTCTGTTTTCTAGCTCAAGTGCTCAAGGGAACAATCCTCATAGACAAATGATTCATTCACCGGAGTATTTTAGAGATGGAAAAAAAAAAAAAAATCTCCCAGCTCACAGCGTATGTTATGCCAGGACTTAAGCCTGCTCTAGATTTATGTCTTGGCAACGAGTGTGAACCCCAGCAGCACGTGCCCTCGGTTAAATAGCTGTCAGGTTCGGGGACGAGGGGGAACTTAACACAATCGCCGCAATTTAATGGGTCAGAAGAGACCCTGGGAAAGAAACCTGCAGACAGGCAACAGGTTGTTAGGCAGAGCCGCTCGCTGCCAAGGACCGCCGAGGCAGGGGCTCCCTCCATCCCAGCCGTCCCAGAGGAAGGAGCGTCCCCCTCCTCGGCAGGGGTGTCCGCGTCCTCAGCAGGGGCAGCGGGGCACTGGCTGCAGGCAGGAGCCTCTCGACCTTGCCGTTGTTTCTCCATACCCCGTCGCTTAGCGGGGATGGTGTCCGGCAGCGAGAGCCGGTACCCGGCTGGTGGCAAGCAGGACAGAGAGGGGAAGTCAACGTACCTTCACCTGGTCTTATGTCCGGCCTCCCAGCACCTTTCCCATCGTTCTTATCATCAAGGGCATCAGACAAGTCAAAATCCATAGGATCCTTTGCTAAAAAAAAAAAAAACGGGGGTTAGCAGTGCTGGCCACAGGATGGGGAACTCTGCAATAATTAATTAATCAAGGAAATGCTCCGCTTTGCCAGGGAAAAGTGTTGGCGAAAGAGACGAAGCCCCCGCCGCGAGCATCTCCCGGTTTCGCTACGCAGCGTCGTGGCAGATCTTCCCAACCCATCCCCTCTCGTGCCCCCGCGCCGCCGCGCTGAGAAATGCCACGTTCTTCCCGCAGAGAGGGCCTCGCGCGGTGGATGCCCGGGAGGGGACGGAGGAGGCCGCGCCGTGCTGCCTGCTTGGTGTTATTTTCCTCTGCGAACCGCCCCGCCGGTGCCCCGAGCAGCCCGGCTCTGACAGAGCAGCTACTGCCTTCGCTAAACGGCAGCGAAAACGGCGGCACGGAGCCAACCTGAGCTCCTCAGCCCTCCCGCCAGCTTGCACCCGAGTTTATTCCGATCCCAAAACTGATTATTTATTTTTGAAGCCTGGGAGCGCCTTTTGCCAAAACTCCACCCGAACCGGCAGCAAAGCGCCCGGCTGACAGGGTGCCGAGATACCCTGTCTGCCCTCTGGTTTTCTATTTTTTTTTTTTTTTCCTAGATGTCTCATGTGAACAAACAAACTGGAGGCTGGACATAGCAGGGCGAGGGGCAGTGCCGCCACCACCGCGCGTCCCCAAGCCTCTGCCTGTGCCGGGGCGCCGGCGCGGGGTCTGGGGAGCTTGCCCTCACCTGGGTTATGCTTGGGGGGGGCCCTTGTAGTTTTTGGCTGCTTGGTCGTGGTGGTGCGGATGACATCCCGAAAGCTGTTGTCTGAAGAGAAAAAAAATAAAAAAAGACACCAAAATGATGTTACCCTCTCAAACATGCATTCGGACAAGCGCTGGGAGGGGAACCCCCTCCCCACAGGGACACCCGCTGGGGCAATTTCGATGCTGTGTTCTCTCCACAGCCTCCGCTGCCCCTTACACCGGGGGCACCCCGAGCCCATTGGTGCCCCGGAGATGTTCGAGCTCTCGGTGTGGGTGGTAGGCAACTTCGTGGGGATCCCCTGTGCCGGGGCACGCGTCAGTGGGGCTTGAATTTGAGAAGGGGACAAGCAGGACTGCCGGGAAAATCCCCCCCCAAACATGCTGCTGGCAGCACGACGCACGCCACTGCCCGCTCGTGGGGGCTGTGCCACCATGAGCAGCCCCGGGCCACCCCCACCGGTGGTCCACGGCACGCAGCAGCAGGACCAGGCACCGCCGAAATGATACTTAAGGATGTGCTAATTTGGTGATGAAATCTCCCACCTAATAGCAGCAAACGGCTCCGTTCTGGTTAAAACCTTTACGAAATGCTGCTGGGCGAAGCCCCCCGATATGGCTCATGCAGGGGGCTCCTGGGCAGCGAGGGAGGGAGGGAGGGAGGATGGCCAAATGCTGGTGCCAACCCTCCTGGCACATCAGCGAGGGCCTGGAGCATCTCCGCTGCCGGCTCCGCTACCACAGCGGTAGCGGAGCAGGAGGAGGTGGTCACCAAAACTTGTCGGAGCTCATCTGTCAGCCCCCGATCCCAGCCTCCCAGCTGCCGGGATGGCTCCCAGTCACCTCGGGGAGCATTTTCCCCCATCTGGAGCCCTGAAGGTGAGCAGGCGTGCACCCCGCCGGGGTGCGGGGAGCTGCGCAGTACCTGGCTTGTCCGGCCTGGGGAAGGGTTTCAGCGTCGGCTTGGCTGGTTTGGTGGTAGGCTCCAGAGGGGTGTCAAAGTAATCAGCCAAATCAAAGCCTGTTGTAGGAGAGAAGGGGTTGTTAAACGCCCCATCCTTTGTGGGGACGGTGCGAGGCTTTCGGCACGCATCCGCCGGGCGGCAGCTCTGCGGGTGCTGGATCAGCCTGGCCATCGTTTAACTCTTCCCACCCGAGCTCTGGCTCCTGTCCACCCCCCGCCCGAGCGACCCCAGAATAATGCGTTTCGGGGGGAAACCTGTCGGTGTCCTGCAGCATCTCCCGAGAGGCGGAGGCTGCGGGTGAGAAGGTGCTGTGAGGATCGAGCCAGTGGCCAGGACCCGCTCCGCTCCCTGCACAGCCACCCACGAGGGACCTTGGGCAGAGTGGAGCGTGAACAAGAGATGGGGCAAGGGCACGGGGACCCACTGCAGACCTTCAGTGCCACCACTCATCCAAAAAGCAGTCCTCGGGGAAGAAGAAACTCGCCGAGACTCAGCCTCAGCCTCGGCATGCATCCATTTCCCGGGGAAGGTTTATTGGATCAAACAACCTCTCATTCGGGCTGCGATCCAAATGATGGCACCCCGCGTTCGCTTCTGGCACTTGGCTTTTCTTGTCCCTAGCAAAGAGCATGGTGGCCAGGGAGCTGGACAGTCAGATTTGCTTAAATTTGTGCCAAGATCCTCAGGCAGGGGCGAGCAGGTTCGCTTCTGAGCGCTGCCCTGCTGCAGTTTATTTCAGGCTCCGCTGGCGGGGTTGAGCAACCCACGGCTCTTGTGACCACGCTATATTTAAGTAGGTACATTTGGCCAGAGGAGCTGCCAGCCATGAAACTCGGGTGAATTTAAGGGAGCTTCCTCAACCGGGGCAGATGCTGTGGAGCCGGCCAGCCAGGACATCTGATGGGCACAAACATTTTTTCCCTGGATGCGGAAATGTCACCAGACTGGGGCCTTTCCGTGGAGATCGGGGATATCTTGGAGAAAAAAAAAAAAGGAAGAAAAATATCCTCTGGGCTCCCTTCTGGAGGCAAAGCTTGCCGGTGCCACACAGCCAGAAACAAAAGCCCTCGCGCAGCTGAGCGCTGATTTGTGTCTTTTCCATTCGGATACTGCAAAGTGTGCGAAATTCAGCCCTGGCTGTAAATCCTCCAATGCCACTCGCCTTCAGCATGGACAGAAATATCAATATTGCATTTACTTTGGCCGTATGGGAGGAGTGCACACACGCACGCTGGCACCAGCTTTCTTACGGGCGAGTGAAGGTGTCCATGCCAAAGCCTCTGCCAAGGCAGCAGCACTCAGCTGAGCCCGTGGAGGGGCTCGCACGCTTCAAACCCCTGTGGGAAGCAAACTCAAATGATACGCAAACTGAAATGATATATGCACACAAGAAGGTCTCACCTGTCCCACCTGCTGGCTTTCTGGGGCCCTTGGGAGTGGCTGTGACAAAAGAGACAGGGAGGAAAATGTTAGTCGTGGGCATCACCGAAAACGCGTCACTCCTGCTTTGAGAATAAACGGCAGAGATTTCACCACAGGCTTTCCAGCTGACCGTCGTTGGTCTGTGTTTGTAAACCCGCAGCCCGGAGCCGTGAAAGCTCCACGCACAGGGCGCGTGGCCGCAGCGTGTAGGACCGCCTGCGCTGCCGCCCCGCGCAGGATCGGGCCCAGAGCTCTGCCGGGCACCGCTGGCTCCGGGGCCGCACGCTGCCGCCGCGCAGGGCAGCATCCCACCACGCGGAACGCAGAGCCCTCTCACCAGCTGCGCCCAACTGAGACTCCCGGAGACAGCAGCAAACACAGCAAGGACAGATACTGTACAGAACAGCCTAAAAAACAAGAGCGAGCTGCTAACGTTTTGCTGTCCCCTGCCCGGTCGGTTAGTTAAACGACAGATAATTTCCAGTGCTGTGTTATGTATGGGATGTTCCCCGTCAGCTGGAGGAATTTTGGTGACACCCCGATGCTCGGATACCGGCTCCCCTGACTGCTCTTGGGGTAAAACAAGCTTCAGTCAGCCTTTAGGGGGTTTGATTATTTATTTTTTTCACCCCCTGTAAACCACTATCTATTAATAGGGGCTAGCATTACCAAGTATATGAATAAATTATGAGCGAGAGTTGTGGCTGCTCTATTCCCATTAATTTCCACTTGCGCCTCTGAATACAGGAGTGCTTCTGCTGGGCTCCATTTCCCGTGTGCCAGTATGGTTTGCTGTGACCCGACCCCAGACTCTTCGTTTGCTTTTATTCCGGGGCTGATGCGATGAAGTCCAGAGCGGGATGCAGCAGCCGGGCAGGCGGCGGGGACAGCACTGCCTCTTCCCCCTGCTCTCGGCTGGCGCTCCAGCCTGGAGAAACGCTGCTTTCCCTCTGCACAGGGGGGCCGTTAGGCGTTTCTAACCAGGTCTCCCCACATACTGTATTAAAGGACTTGCAGAATCCTAAATGAGATCCCTCAGACCCGTGACCAAGTTTGATACCCCATGGTTGCCCCTCTCCCCCTCCTGCTAAAAAAAAACCCGGCGTGCTGCGGGAGGGATGCACGGAGCATCCTGACTCTTTACTCCGCGTAAGCTCCAATGTAACACAGCACAGGCGTCTGTGTGTTGTTAGACTATAAAGTAAGAGGTTTCAAATCCTGTTATAGCTCTCACTTAAATACTTGTAGGTGTATTTGGTGTGATCACAGAGGCCGGCATCGCTCGCAGAGTGCCCCCCGCTACCCTCCGGCCGGACGCTGGCCTTGGGGACAGCCACCATGAACCGCATGGGGAGGGATGGGCAGCGAGGGGTCCTGGGTACCGGCGTCTGCAGCTCTGCCGTGGCGTCTCCGTGGCCGGGCAGCAATGGGGAGCCATGGACGTGTCTGGGTGCAGACAGCTCCTGGGCTCAGCGCTGGGGGAGGCGTGCGACATGCCCCTGGGGGGGTGAGGAGCTGCTGCGCTGGCAGTCAGCTTCTCTCTTTCGGGTGTAAAATGAGAGCTGCTCCGCTTAATCTCCTGCTGCCAGTGGGGTGCGACCCCCCCCGCCGGCCCCCTGCCCTCCCCGCGGTTTCTGCCAGGCACCGCTGTCCCCTCAGCGACACAGCCCGGCCTCAACGTACATAAAAATTATCTATTTCAAAGCTAATTATTAAATATCAGCATGGCAGCAGCAAGGCACCCCCTTCAGAAACGAGCCTCCCCTAACTGATGGGTGGCATCTGAAAATGTGCAAAGCGGAGCAGCCACCCAACGCGCCGTTTGCTTCCCCCGGGCGCTGCGGGAAGGACCTGGCACTGCCCCTGCCCCGCCGGGCTCCAGGGGTTGTCCTCGCTGGCTGGAGAAGGAGAGCAGTTAACGCATTGGCTTCCAGGCAAAGAGGAACATGTTCCACGGTAGGTGTTACCAACGAACGCGAGGAAGCCAAAAGGACACGCTCAGTGCTGTGGCTACGTCAAAGCACTGGTGTGCCCCTGCAGTTTGCTGACGGGAGTCAGAAAGCGAAGGGCACACGGTGAGCGACCAGCTTCTCCAGGACTATCCCAGTCCCACCTGTTGGCAAGCCCGGACATCGCATCGGGCAGGGACGAGGAGGTAGCCCATATCCTCTACCACCCTCCCACCAGCATCAGGTCCCAAAGAACAAATTGCATCCGTTAATGACTATTTGTTTCCTCTTCTTTAAAAGAATAAATAAATGTGACTTACGCCGCTTGGTGGTAAGGTCATACAGAGCATCTTCTAGGCTGAAGTCACCTGGGTCGTCCCCATGACCTGCAGACAAAGAATCAGCGCTGGTTGTTCTTTCTCCACACAAAGTAAACCGCCTTTAAATACAGCATGGATAGACTCATTTGCCTAAATTGCTTTAGTTTTTAAAGGGCTTTCTGGTTTTTTTTTCCAAGCCTGACCCATCATCGGTGATGAGGAAGACATCAGCCTTCTCCAAATGCTGTGACTGCTAAATTGCAGAGCAGTCATCTCTGGATTTTCCATTTGTCTGCCCTAATGGATGCGGGATAAAAACACACGCTATGCTTAAATTTGTCAAGGAGCGCCTACCAATTCATCTCTCGAGCTGCCACTCATCTGTGGCTGTGCTCACCATTATACATTTGCTAAACACCGTGAAAACATTGGGACAGCGCAGACGAATTCAGTGAAAAACAAAAAAGCCCTATGCACCTCTTCTTCGCAAGCGCCTTCCAACATCAAAGGCTCCGCACGAAAACGCTGCTGCTGGCTGCCAAGCACAACTTAGCATTTCAGAGACCTCCTGCATCATTCTGCCTTGGGAAGGCGAACCAGGACCGAACCCCCAGCCCAGGGATACACCTGATGGGCACACGCGGGTTTTTTTGTTAGAGACGCCTCCCCACAACCCCAGTCACTTTATAATATCCCAGGGATAACTCGGTGCTACACCGTGTCCTCCTGCGATAGGGCCAGCTAATCCTTCCTTTCTCTGTCTTTTTTTTTGCATCGCGTTAATTACTGTTGACTTACCCTAGTTCTGGATGTATTTGTCTTGATAAATTCATGCTTTTACATCTCAGAGCATGCTGAGTAATTAATATCCTTTGGGTTTGCTAAGTACTGCAGCACTGCAAGAGAACATTAAAATGGCTTTCCTCTTATTCCTACTGCTAAATGGATTTAGCTATTGCCACCTGAGCTCCAGCGTGCTTCATGAATAAATTTAAAGCTTTACTGACAAGGACAATAACAACGGGAAGGTACCAGTCCGTCAGAAAGCAGGTATCAGCATTTCGGTGAAAAACTTCTACCGAGAGTGGTCACTAAGTACTGCAACACCTCCAGCTCCGGTTTCACTTACTCGCACATCACATCTCGTTTCATTTGCTGTCTATTTAAATGTACACTCAGCAAACCTGAGGGGGATTTAAATGCAGGGTCTGTGGCTGGGAACCTGCTACGGGCTCCTCTCCCCTGGCAAAGCGCTCGGCGTTAAGGTGCTGCCGGGGGTGTGTGCGTAAGTAATAGATGTCCCATCCCCACGGCCGTGTTCCCCATCGAGAAGAGGGATGCCAACGCCTCCCCCGTGTGCCCGCAGGGACGGCCGGCAGCGGGTGATGCCCCATTGCAGGTGGAACCCCATTCCCGCCGTGCGAAAGCCGACGAGCGCGGC